GAGGAAGGACAGGGCCTACGCTAAGGTCTGAGGCCCTCCCCAGCTCCCACTGTGGGTGTTTCTCACCTCTGATTGCAGCCCAGTTAGCAGGCAAGGGCATGACCCCAGAGTATACTGCCCTTCTCCATCCACAGAGCAGTCCGGTCCGGCCCTGCTGCCTCTGCCTGCTCAGCACTCGCCACACCTCCAGCATACCTATTTTAAGCGCACTGCCTGGCAGTTCATGGGGGAATGTTGCCATGCCAACCCGCTGGCTGTTGCTAATCATAATCTATGAATGTGCAGTACAGCCATCTCACAAGCGATTCTTTCCTCCCTTACCCTGGGGACTTTTTCCACATTGTCCTTAGACAGCTTGTTCACCTTGTTCTTAATGGCATACAGTAGGTACCTAATAAATAGGCACTGGATTAATGACTGGAGTCTGCAGCACACTGGAACCTGCGGGGTGCTTTCCCATACGGTTCATCCATCCACACCACTGCAGATGCCGAGGCAGATATTTGTTACCCCACTTGCCAGGTGAGGAAACTGAGAAAGTTGCTCTCACTGGTCTCAGAGCTAACAAGTCACAGAATTCACACTGCATCCTTGTTATTCTGATTTCAACCCGAATCTTCTCTGACACCAGTTGACCTCATTGTCTCTAGCATGTGGAAGTCAATACCAATCCACATACTTATGAGAATGAAGGAGTCTGCAAAGTGCCTTCCCATCCGTGTCCCTGCTTCACTCAGACCCCAGAGCCAGGCCCTGCAGGCAGGGAGCACTTAAGCACTTGACCGCCGCGGACATTGGCTCCAGGAGGGCAGAGGTTGGGGTTCTGCTCTCTCCCAGGACCCAGGGCCCACTGCAGTGCTGGTGCTGAGTGGTCGTCCCTTAGTGTCTGTTGCTGAGTGAGTGAATGACACTTGGTGAGTGGCCTGTGCCCCTAGGGTGAGCCAGTGGGGAGCCGGAAGCCACTTGCTCCCTCGTCAATTGTGAAATACCTGGAAAACAGGCCATGGCTTTAACCCAGGAGGCAGACTCCTACTGGGGAAGGGAAGGGAGAGACCCAGACTGTACCAAGCATGGACTACGTGCCAAGTGCCCAGGGTTCTCACTTGTCCTGGTGCTGGAGAGGACAGTACGGTGGCCCCATCTCCCTGCGGAGGACTGCAGCTCACACAGGATCTGGCCGGCGCAGGGTGGGCTTTGGAGCCAGGGTGGCAGATACCAAAGCTGGACTGTCCCCATGACATCACGCCTCACGTAGGGAAGGCCAGGGCTCTCAGGCGCCAGGTCCCTTTCCCGTGTGCAGCTCCGGAATCAGACCCAACACCAGGCCACTGACTTTCGACTTGCTCTGTGCATTGTTCATGCCTCAGATGCCCCAGTGGGTACCCAGCGCTCTGTCTTCACTATCACTCTCACGTCCTGGCCAAAGGGGAAACCGAAGTTCAGAACAGTTAGGGGCTCTGCCCCAGGTCACTGGGATGGGCAGGTGGCAGAGCTGGAAGAGGAACCAGTCCAGGCCGTGGAAGACATCGGTGGTGTCACTGTCATCCTGGGAGCCTGAAGAGGGGCTCGTGTCCCTCCCTGGGCCTCAGCATCACCACCCATAATGTGAGGGTGGGGAGCGGGGCAGGTGTCGCCAGGGCCTAGCCAAGGGAACAGGCAGCTTACGTGGTGAGCAGAGAACATGCCCACGGGGCGGGTGCCCTGTAGAGGAGAGGGAGGGCTGACCTCACGCAGCTCCAACCATGGCCAGGAAGACAGGGGTCCAAAGTTCTCAGGTCCACTGATTTTCAAAGAGAAGCCAGACACCCAGATTTTATAAGAAATCATTTGGTTTTGAAAGATGAACTTATTAATTCCAATATTAACAAACACAACAGAGGTGTGTACACTGATTTTCAGAGCAGAATTATTCACAATAGCCGAAAGGTGGAAGTGACCCTAATTGATGAGGGAGTGGAGAAACAAAATCTGATCTATCTATATGGTAGAATACTATTCACCCTGAAAAAAGGAAGGGCATTCTGACCCACAATCCAACATGGATGAACCTTGGAAACATTATGCTGAATGAATTAAGCCAGCCACAAAAGGTCGAACTGTGTGCAATTCCACTCAGATGAGCTCCCTGGAGCAGTCATATTCACAGAGAAAGAGAGCAGAATGAGGTTGCTCGTTCTGGAGGAGGGGTAAGAAGGCCTGGGGTTTAATGAGGACAGAGTTGAAATGTTCCGGAGGTGGATGGATCGGTGGCTACAGAATGATGTGACTGTGCTAATGCCACTGAGCTGGACACGTAATAGGTCCAAACAGCAAGTTTTCTGTTAGGTGCATTTTACCACAAGAACAAGAAAAGATGGAAGGCAAACAGGACAGGTGTGTGTGCCAGGTCTGGTCCAGGGTGGCCTTCGTTCCTGCCATGGACTAGCAACTTGGGTTGGGGGGCTCTCTGTCCTTGCTCCCTCTGACCAGAGCTCCAGGTGCTGTGGACCTGTCTGCCCGCCTGCTCCCACCATCAGCTGTGTCGTGCAGGAGCAAGGACCAGGGGAAATCAGCCCACAGAAGTCTTGCCAGCAGTGCCGGCTTTACGCCTGGACTTCCTGGGTGATGCTGGAATTTCAAATGTCCCTGTCCGCATCCCTGGCTGCCCTCAGTAGCCAGCCTCACTGTCCTGCAGCTCCCAGGACACAATGTGAGGGAGCGGTTGCCAAAGGTCTATCCCAGCAACGGGGCCGAGATGCTCTTCAACTGAAGGCCAGAAGGAGCTCAGATGGGCTGCGGGCCTGGGGTGCTTTGGGCTGCTGTGGTTACCTGTGGGACACAAGTTACTTGAAGCGGCACAAGTTTAGAGAAGGACTCTCCGCGTCTTCTAGAAGCAGGATGCCTCCCCAAGGGCCACAGAGTGCTTGTGAGCATGGGCCCTGTAAACAGGCGAGAACGTGGGGTGTGGCAGGGACAAGCTGCACACTCATCAGGTGTCGGAGGGGCCAGGAAGCTGTGTGGCCACCTCCACTGTCCAGGTGAGGAACAGGCCCGGAGAAGCCAGGGGTGGCTTGGAAGTGGCTGGCAAGTTAGAGGCAGAGCTGGGTGTCTGGGTTCCTTGATGGACTCACACCCCATCCAGTAGCGGTGCTGGACCACAGAGGGTCCTGGGCTCCTTTGAGAACTTGCCAAAGCCCCCGGAATTCTCTGTCTCCCTAGACAATACCCTGCACAGGCTGGGAGCCCCACAGGAGGCAATGTGCAGTACCCGAGGCACCATCCGGGTCTGGAGCGCACTTGGCCCACAGAACAGAATCATCATGCAGGCAGAGGAGAGGAGGATGCTTGGAGAAGCCGAGCAACCTGAACAAGGTGACATGGCCTAGCAGAGGCAGAGCCAGCCCAGTGCTTGGGGCTCCAGACCCCGGTTTCCTGCCACCAGCCCTGGCCAATAAACACAGCTTCTTATGGTCAACGGGCATTGCCTGGGCTCCTGGTTGGAACCGTGCAAGGTAGGAACATTTCCCATAGGTGGTGTGGGCAGGCTGATGGTCGTTTGGCTTTTACTTGGCTCCCAGGAAGGGATCGTAAATCTCAGGGCCACCTGCACTCCACAGGTCATGTGGGAGGGGTGTCACATTTTCCAGAGGGACGTGTTTGCCTCTCTATGGTCTTCTTTCCTGAAACAACCAAAGCAGGAAGATTAGTCCTGAGAGGAAGCTACCAACCAAGCGACTTCTGCATGCAGCTGTCCAAATGCACCAGCTTCCAGAGGCGGGAGGGTGCTCCTCCCTCTGTGTCCTGGGTGTGCCATGGGCATCTTCACCACAACCCTCAGCTGCTCTCTAGAAAAGAATCTGATTCCTGGAATTCACAGGGAGAAGACTCTTTATTTGGGATGTTTTGAATCCTTGGTGTAATACAGAGGTTTTACGTGACTCAGCATCCATGCACATTGGACAAAGGGTTTCCAACCCCCAAGCCTGTCCCAGAGGCCAACAGCCAACAGAAGGTCAAGAACCAATGGCTCAAAAAAAGAGAGAAACTGAGGTTTGAGGATGTGTTCGTTCCTCCATGCAATGAAAGTTACCAGACACCTGGTGCATGCCACTCTCAGTGCCAGGCTCCAGGGTCATGGGCTTGCACGTGGAGACAGTGGGTAATGCAGGAATCACAGGACGAATGCACACACCAGCTGTAGCCATAAAGAGGGAGGGCAGAGTGAGACCACTGCAGGGGACCGAGTGGAGGTGAGGATAGCAGGGCCGAGGCAGGGGCAGGGGAGACCACCAGGTAGCCAGTGCAAGAGGCCCCGCAGAGAGGGGGAGGGAGCTCGAGAAGCCAGCGTGCAGAGACACGAGGGGCTGCATGGCAGGAGATGTGGGGACACTGGGTGCTCTTGGGCAGTGCTCAGAGAGGGAGGGCTCCTTAATGAGTCTGGAGGGATGGTAGGGAGGTGAGAAAGGGATACATGTAAAATTTCGAGATGAGTGGGGTTTTCTGAGCAGGGAATACAGCTTGAGCAGAAGCCAGGAGGTGTGAGGCAGTGCAGGCCAGAAGGGAGCAGGGAGGTGGTGGCAGAGCACAGGTCTTGGGCCCTCAGTTTCCCAAGAGGAGCCTGCATGTATGCTGGCAGATTCCTAAGCACATCTGGGGATGCAACAGCTTACAGAGGGGAACTCAGGAAAATGAAAACCCCTCAGAGCACAACGTCCCTGTGCAGTTCCAGGGACTCCCCAGAGTAGGGGCAGGCTGGGCTATGATGCAGGGAGCATGGGGCCTGTGGGGTGGCACAGTGACGGTGCACACACAGCCTGAGCTGCACCTGTCCCAAGGACGGCAGCAAGGACACCATCCCAGCGCCACCCGTGTGGCCCCATCTTGGCACAAAGTCAGATCTTGCTCATTTAGCGTGTTTGTGTAGGTGTTTCCAGTCTGCTTTTCCAAATGTATTTTTATCTCTGTGCACAGCACTGCAGGCTTTTTTGGGGAGGGAATCAGCAAGATAAAAATAAACTCAATTCAAATCTTCCATCCTCAGAGGACCACTGGTACTCTCACTTCACTGTGCGTCAGAATCACTTCACCCTGGAAGAATTCAGATGCCCAGGCTCAATCCCAGATTTGAGGACCCAGTGTCTGTGAGAGAGAGCTCAGAAATCTGTTAGCAGTGAGTATTAAACTCCTGCAATATGCTGGGGATTATTCACTGAGGGATCTGGGATCCCATTGAGCACCTGATGTCTAAGTGTCACCATATTGAGCAATGCCCCAATCTGAGGACAAGGCAGAAAAACCAAGTCATTAGAAGCATCTGAGTGATGTCATACACAAGTCATCATCAATGCCTTGCCTGCATCCCAAGGAAAGCTGATACAGTCTTGTTGATCTTGCATTCACCAGGAAAATAATGCAACAACTGCTCCAGAATTAATGAATATCATTGGTCCCCTCCAAAGCCCAGGGAGTACACTCATTGATGATAATTCCTGGTAAAGATACATTGTTTTCAAACTACAGTTACAAAGATACACCCTGAGAGATGGTCAGCAGATGCAAAGAAATAGGAGAAAATCACTTTGAAGGTATTACACGGCTTACAGGTTCTAGAAAGGGCTTTAAAATAAGAATGACCACAACTGTGACACAGGTATTGTAGAAACCAAAAACTGAGTTCCTGACATAAGACCTTTATGGGCAGGTTAGACAGTAGACTAAACACAGATGGAGAGACTGAGGGAACTGAAAGACAGACCAGAGGAAATCACCCAGGGTTCAGCACGGAGAGATAGGTCTAAGGGAGGGGTTGCTCTAGATTGAGTAGAAAAGCAAAGTCACTAGAAGCAGCTGAGTGGTCTCACTGCAGAGGTGACATTTGAGTTGAGGCCCAAATAACAAAGAGACTCAACCATGGAAAGAAACAGGGTCAAGGGTCCCAGGCATCAGGGGCAGAGTGCACAGTCCCGGGGGAACATTGGGCGGGAGCAGGCTGCTGCATCTGGAGAACAGGAAACAGACCCTGCAGCCCCAAGTATGAAAAGCAATGAGGGCCCAGCTCAGAAGTGTGGGTGAGGGGGCCAGGCTCCAGCTGGGGCCAATAAGGGCTTTCCCGTGGTGAGAGCTGAGCATGCACCCACTCACTCACTGGCTTATCTGCCCATCACCAAGTTCCCACTCTGAGGCAAGCACCATGCTCAAGGCCAGAGGGCATGTAGAGTAGAACCCAGCAAAATGCACGAGTGAACAAACTTCAAAGCTGGACAGAGTGAACTGCTGTGGGGAGCAGATCCAGCAGAGATATCAGGGAGAAGGTGGGGAGCTCAGCACCACAGTGTGGGGTATCAGAGAGGAGCATTTAACCAGCCCTCCCAGATGCTCGAGTTTATACAGCCACGGCGGCATCCCTATGTCCGGGGAGGCAAGAGCAGCCCACAGAGAGCAGGCAGGAACGAGTGAGCAGGCTGTGGCAGAGATACTAGGCAGGGAGGCGGCCGCAAGGCAGGCAGGCAGAGGCCTTGGGGTATCAGGAAATGAGGCCAGAAACGGGGACACCAGTCCTTGCCCTACTTAGTTCCAGAGCCTTGTGAAGACAGGAGCTCCTCGACAGCAGAACACAGGCCGTCAGGAGAGCAGCGCAGACGTGACTGCCCTTGACACCAGGCCCAAGGTCACACAGCTCTGGGGATGCACGGGGGATGGGAAAGCCAGACTGGGACTGCTGGGTCACTGTCCTTTGTCCCACCCCGATCTGTCAGTCAAAGCAGAGCTGAGCGGACCCACCTTGCAGATGAAGAGCACCTGGAAGAACCTGGTCCCTGCTCCACCCCCAGTCACCCACTGTCACCCCGTGCCTGGACCCCTGTGACAGCTTCCTCACAGGCCCCTGCTGCAGGTGGGTCCTGCCCCATGCAGGCAGCAGCCAGAACTGCCAGCTGCTTTCCGGAAATTAAGGCCCGTGCAGTCCTGCACTGGCCACGTGGACTTGCTGCAGACCGAGCACCACGCATGGCGGGGTGGGTGGCGAGCGCTCCCGGTGAGGACGGCAGGCCAGGGGCTTCTCTCTTCAGCTTCCTTGTCTTCTTACTGTTTGGGGCTTATGGTCTTCCATTCCCTCTGATGCTTCCCCAGGGACACTTCCTGGGCCAGAAATAGCTTCACTTTTCAAGTGTCTGTGAAGTCCAGCTTGGTCCATCAACCAAAGCTCCGCTCCAGGCACATTCTGGACACTGCCCAGGGCTTGGGCCAGGTGGCAGGGCGGAGTGTAGGCTCCCAGGAGTTCACAGCTTCCAGAACAGGGGGGCACCAGGGCACAGGGACCATAAGGAGGGCGCCTGTGGGGTCCAGGCAAGGAGGGCTATTTGAGCACCAAGGGGCGCCTGTTCCAGGACCCAACATGCAGGAGCAGCCCTGTGCTCCAGCAGGAGGAAGAGCAGGCGAAGTGTGTTACCCAAGAGTCATGGGGCCAGGGATTTAGCTCAGTGGTTCCGCTGCCTGCCTCAAGAGCACAAGGTTCCTGGTACCAAAAAAAAAAAAAAAGAGTCACAGGACAGCGACTACACCCAGCCTGCGACAGCCTGGGACAGCCACCAGCAGAATCCTCACGATCCCTGCGATGTGCGTGTGTCACCCTTGGTGCAGAGGGACGCCAGGGGCCCTTGGTGCACGTGGTGGCGCTGGGATCTTAAGGAGACCCGCTGGGCTCCAGGACCCATGTCCTTGTGGAAGACACAGAGAAACACATGGGGCACAGCCTCTGGTGGACACGGACCAGCTCGTGAGAACACAGGACGGACTGAATCCACTCACATCGTGTGACTCTTACTGAATGAGGCTCAGGTTCAGCCCGGTTCCCCAGGAACGACTCAGCGTGTTTGTGGTAGGGAAAGGGAATCAAATGTAAAAGTCAGGATTTTTTTTTTTTTCAGACAAAAGCCTTCAAAATGTGCTTCAACACAGTCGACCCCATCTGGTCACTGATTTTTCTATTTCCAATGATGCCTGTGTTTATGAGGCAAACTACACTGTACACAGGTTTGGTGTGAATCTTGGGGTTTTAATTAGTGCACTAGTTATTCCTACGAAGGCATCTAGAATACATCCTGTATAATTAGCATAGAAAATAGATCCCAGAGGAAGAAAGGCCCCCTGGTAATGCCCCTGCTTAATCATGGCCAAGCACAGAGGGTTCTGGGTTCCAAACAATGGCTTCTCTACTCACCTCACTCGGGGTGGCATTCACTGAGGAGCTTAGCCACCAGCCTTGGGCAAGAACCTATTTGAGGGCTCAGGGAGAAATAAGATGAAGCCTCCCTCCTTGGGCTGCCTTTTCTGGGGGACGCCTCCCCTTTGAACTTGAATGTGGTCTTACCATGTCACTATTACTCCAACAGATGTTTCTGCAGGGACGTTGGGGCTCTTCCTGCTCTACGCTCAGTGAACTTGAGCTGTCTGACCCTTCTCAAAGCCAGATCCCCGGCCCTGCTGCAGCATCTAGGAGAGATGGCTGTTCAAACTCTCCTTGGATCCATTCTCTGACAGGGAGCTTATTACCACCTGCGCCTGGGAAGCCTGCTCCATCGGGCAGCTCTACCCACTGGGAAAACCGTGTGTGAGTGCTTGGGACTTGCTAGACTGTGTGTGGAAGGAATATTTCACAAGTTACCTGGGTCTGCTGACAGAGACAGCCTTCTCTCCCGACATGTGGAGCTGGTTCCAGGTGATTCCCTGGCTGCCCTGTGGCTTCTCCACATGGACAGAGCACTCGCTGAAGGACAGCTTTGCCTCCTCCTGCCCAGAGCAGCACGCGCCCCTTGATCACCACCAAGTCGAGGACAAGAAGGGGTTCCTGCTGCTCTCAGGCCCTGGTGGGCACAGAAGAGGAGAAAGTGGAATCTGGTAAATGCCTAAGAACTGACTCTCAGACAAATGCAGACCCGATTTTTGGAATCCGTTCATTTCTGCTGTGTAAACACTCCCGCCATCGCTGATTTCAAGCCACGGACAATGAGGTCACGGAGGAGCTGGTAATAAATGCACACATGTGGGTCTCGAAAGCCAGGAGGAGCTGTCTCCAGCACCTGTGTGCATGGGGGTGGGGGTTAGAGGAGTATGAACGTAAGAGAATGAATGAATACAGGCATGAATGAGAGGAGAGAAGAACCCCAATTCTGCAAAGTGATAGGAAGGAACTGGAAAGAGCAAACTACATAGCTGTGATACAACATTAGGAAGAAACCCAGCTGGGATCAGTGTCAAAAGCATTTTTAGCAGTGTCTCCAAATTATCTTCAAGGAACTATGTCCTCATGTAAGAAGCCTGACGGCAAAGTGTGTCCGTGTCCTTACAGCTACCTGGGAGTGGGTTGTAAGCAGCTATGGAAACGTCCCAGACACAGAGCCAGCACCCTAGAGGGAAGAGTTCACCACTCATGTTCCACGGAGGAGGAGGAAGCCCGGCATGGCCTCCCAGCAAGCACCGGGCACACTGGAGGTGAAAGGAGGGAGGGAAAGCATGGTCTAGGGCTTCTCTTAGGGACAAGTGATGCACGGTGGACAGCTGAGGGAGCCCAAGATTGGGCAGTCTGAGCGCGCTGGGCGAAGGGCTGTCACCCTGACCCCGGGGTGACACGGGCCAGATGAGGCCTCCGCTTGCTCTGTCCAGGTCAGATACAGAAGGCTGCAGCGCATTCCGACCTGGCCCACCCCTGGGGCTTGCGCAGATCCCTGGACTGGGGCAGATGGCAGCCCCTGTTCTGGGCCTGACTGTGAGCAAGAGCAGTAGGTGTGGGAAGTGAGTGTGCGCTTCTGCATCCTATGTGCTGAAAACCTCAAGATAAAATGCTCTTTTCTCAACTCACTAATCTGTGTTTCGGGACTGAGACTCATCGAGGCCATTTCCACTTTCCTGTTCTTAACATTCTGCTCTAATTGATGGATTTGTTCAGTAGTCAGGGCCTCTGAATCTCATTACACTGGGGCTCCTGGGCGTATTGATCCTGTGTGGAAATACAGCAATAAATTGTCCAGCAGGCTGCCCGAGGAAGGAGTGGGGAAGCAACAGGGCCTTGCTGTACAGTCTTGTCTGCTTTTAATTCAATCTTCATCACAAGTTCAATTTCCGAGCCAGCAATAGGTATCAATGGCTTTGAAAATGTTTCTTCCCTTTAAGGAAATAATTTCATTCCTGAGATTCAAATCTCCCAGAAATGGCCTTCTATGAAGACAAAGATTTATACACAGTGATAATCAGCATGGTATTTATTATAGAAAAAGGAAGCAGCCCAAATAGTCAATAACAGGCATCAAGTTTTGTGTTATGAAAAGCGAAGTTTATGGGCCGGGGATTTAGCTCAGTGGTGCGGCCTGTCTGGCAAGCGCAAGGTCCTGAGTTCGATCCTGGGTACCGCCAAAAAAAAAAAAAAAAAAGTGAAGTTTAGGAAGACAATGTTAGCATGGAAGAAATGCCCACAAGAGGAGGCTAGATTCAAATGCAGCATAGGAATTTCATATTGATTGTGATCATAAATACTGGAAGGAAATTTACCCTTTCAGGACATGTGCCAAAGGTGATTTTGTTCATATGGATTTTGATGTTTTCTTCTTAATTGCTTTTCTCTATTTTCTATTTTTCTCTGAAAATCAACACACATCACCTAAAATTAATTTGCATAATTTGAATTTCTTGATAGCTAGTTGAGTAAACTATGGCTTTGCTTACAAAGCCAGCAAATCTAGTGGGACGAACGTGTACATTGGTACTTCTCCTTTTTCCCTTGTTAGAAATAACTAGAGAGGGGCCAGGGGTTTAGCTCAGTGGTTCCACTGCCTGTCTCACAAGCACAAGGTCCCAAGTTCAATCCCTGGTACCAAAAAAAAAAAAAAAAAAAAAACCCAGAAATATCTAGAGAGTCTCATGTCCTAGTTCCTGGTATTTTTTAAAAAATTTTTAATCAGTGTATCTTTGCAGCATGTAGCAATCACATTCACCCATGTCCACAACAAAACACATTTTTACTCTTTCTACCTCCCCTTCATCTGCCCTCCCTAGTGTTAAAGTTATTTGTACTCTGTCTCACTTGGGCTTGTCTTACATGGCTGAGTCAGTAAGTTAATGCAGCCTAGAATTTGCTAATGCACACAAAAATGCAAATAAAACCACTCCCATCAACTAAAAAGAGCCACATCCAGGTGGCATCTCAATCCATTTCTGCACCAGGACCAACTCTCCCGTGTTCCTTCCTCAGGAGCTTCAGCCTCAACTGTCCACCCCACTACTTCCCCATCCACTCCTATTGGTTGTCCTTTTATGTTTTGCTTTGTTTCATTTGTAGTGCTGAGAATCAAACCCAGGACCTCGCACGTGCTAGGCAAGATTCCACCCCTGAGCTACACCCCCAGCCCCACCTTGATCCACACAGCAGAGCATGGAGTCACTGGGAAATAGCACCCTCGGGTCTCCAAATGCCTCTGGTCTCCTCCCAGGCCAAGTCCCTTCCCAGCTGGCTGTCCAGAAGATCCAGTCCTGAAAAATCCCCTTCCACCACCTGGCTTAAGAATAGGAGAAAAGGACCCCTTCTACCTTGTTGCTGGGAATGTAAACTAGTACAACCACCATGGAGAGCAGTCTGGAGAGTCCTCAAAAAACTGAAACTAGAAATTGCATTCATCACAGCTATTCCCCTTCTAGGTATCTTCCCAAAAGAGAAAGACATCATATTACAGTGATCCATGCAGCATGTTTATGGCAGCACAATTCATAACAGTTAAATCTTGGAAGCAGCCTGTATGTCCATCAGCAGGTGAATGGATAAAGAAAATGTGGTATTTACATACAATGGAGTACCACTCTGCCATAAAGAAAGATAAACTGGAGTCATTTGTGGGAAAATGGATGCACCTTGAGACCATAATGTTAAGTGAAATAAATCAGATGCACAAGCTTAAATATCACATAACTTCTCTTATATGAATAATCTAAAAGTATAAATAATTTTTTTAAATAAAAGCTAGATAATAGGAGAGATGGAGATAGATCTTTTTGCAAATGGGAAAGGGATCTAGAGTTGCAGGAAGGGGAACAGAAGGGAAATAAAAAGTTCAAATGTGTTAAGTATATGTACCTCCTCCCTAAGACGAGGATAAACATTATGTACTATAAACACCTAGTATCAAAAAAATTTAAATGGCCCCTTTAGGTCCTCCTCCCTCTTACCTGTTGACATCATTTTTCCCATCCTGCCATCCACTCAAAGGTGCAATCATTTCCAGTTCCTATCATTGCCAGACAGCTTTTTCCTTACACCATCGTGTCTGCTCATGCTACTAGGGAAAGACACAGTTTGTTGGCCAAGCCACCACTATTTCCAATCTCTTTCTCCCTCACTGCCTCCTATGCTACAGGTTGGAAAGGTGGCTATTGGCTGTCAGGTAGAAGTGGCCAGACTTCTGGGCAGATCTGGCCAATGAGATACAAAATCATGCCTTTTGGAGCCATCGAGGAAAGACTGACCTCCTCTGCTCTTGACACACACATGAAGCCTGAAGCCGAGGCAATTGCTGTGCCTGTACCATGAGGCCATAACCAGCAGAGCCACAAGCAGAAGACAGAGAATCTGAAGAATGGAGGGCACCTCAGAGCCGCCCGACAGCCGAGGTCAGGCACTGGGCCCCTTGATGAGTGAGGCGTAAACAGGTGGTGCTTCAGAGCGAGGTGTTCCAGTTCCCACAGCTCAGCAGCTGCTGCTTGGCTCCCTGTGCTGTCCTGCATGGAGGTGGAGTCCAGGGCCCGGCACGATCGAGGAGCCAACCTGTGAACTCTGGGCCACACTGCCCATCTGCTGGGAATTCATGGTACCTAGAACCAAGTGGTTTCCACCGGGTGCTCTTGGCGTGGGCTTCCCCAAATTCAGAGCCTGAGACCAGGATGTGGTGCTGATGGGCACAGGAGTGAGGGAGTCGGCAGGTGAGGCAGAGAAGACAGAGGAGCGACATCCAGGTGGGTACTGAGGTCTCCTGCAGCCCGGGATCCTGAATGCAGAGGCCTCCAAGATTTTCGGCCTGGAGGACAGAAGCCAGTGCTTGAGGTGGGCCCAGGACAGTGAGCTCCCAGCTGCAAGCTGAGGGGAGAAGCAGCCTCAGGAGCTGGGTATATGGCTCCAAAGCATCCACTGCGCAGGCGAGCAGGTGTGAGGCCAGGCCAAGCTTTCCTAGGAGATGGCAACCAGCCTGACCCCTGGCCTAGCAGAAGCAGCCCCAGCATTCCCGGCCACCCACACCCTGCCTAGCCTACCAGTGCCTCCGCATCTCTTCCAGGTAGTCCTCTAGTCCTACAATGACTACGTCTTTATCCCAGGTTTATGTTCTACAGGAGGAAAACAGATCTGCCTTGGTCCACAGCCCAGGCTCTGAGATTTGGCCCAGGCTGTCCCAGAGATTTTCAGCCACAAGAAAAAGTGGGATGAGATCCAGTCCTAAGAGCTGCAGAGAAGTGGCCTGCTTTACTCAGCCCTGCACAGCGAGCCTGGGGTTGACAAAGCTCAGTGTTCTTACCATTTACAATAAAATGTGTTTGTGAACTGCAGCATGCGGCAAGTGCAACTGGGAAATGTAAGTGATCCTTCAAAAAAGAGTAACGGCCTTGAGCCCCCAGTGCAGGAGCCTCCGAGGGCTCCAACCCTGTTTGCACCAGAAGCCATGGTGCATTTCATTCTGGTGTCCTGGAGACCCACGCCTAGCCCTGGCCCCAGAAGGCTTGTAATTATCCAGCCCTCCAGTGTTTCAGCTGCACCCACCCCGGGCCTTAATTTGCACGGGTCTTGGGGAGTCACCTCGCCTTGGACTCCCATAAATCATCAAAGGCTAGC